AGCGCGGCGTTTGTTTCTCTTGTTGTAATCCTTGTCCAACAATTCAAAAGTGACTTTCTGATACCATGGAACATCAATCTTCGTAGTGAGGTCCTCCTCTTCCCCGGGTGCGCGGGTGGCGTACACCGAGGTTGTGAAGTCTTCCTTCGGCCACTCTCCTGGCATCTTCTGCTTTCCTTTATTAGCGAGACAATTAGCCAATGACTGTCCAGATAATCGTGAGCGAAACGCTGTCCACAGATTACTGAGTCTGAAATTAGTATTTTACCTCTCTACAGAGGTCGCGTTGAGTAGTTTAGGGAGCTTAGTATTATGTCACGGCGTAGAATAGGCACAAGTGAAAGTACAGCTTGTATGGCGATAATTCAATCTGTGAAGCAAATACTAAGCTGGAGAAGAATAGAAAAGAACAGGATCTCATTACAAAAAGCCCTGAGGCTATTCCTATTCGGGCGGGTTTCCACTAAATCGCCGCGTCCGTGCTCCTTCCTGCATCAGCCATCAGTCTCACATCCTCCCTCCACGTAATTGTATATCATGGCGGAGCAGAATGCCGTGCCGTGACAGTATTCCCCAACAACTAACACATTGATATACAGAGAGCAAGACTGAACACCTGTACGCGGTGTCCTCTACGAACCTGGGAGTGAAATATTCTCCCAGAGCCAAGTTCAGTCAAACTTCACAATACCGAACAAGCTGGCCCACGAGGCAATGATTCAAATTACTTCGCCACTTCAATATTTCACTTCCAAAGAGATCGAATCCTACCTAAGCCTCATCAAGTCTACAATTACGACCCAGTACATCCTCATTCCAATGATCACACCTCCCGTCGACTTTCTCTGGCCTCAGCTCGTCACCAAATACACGCCCACGCCTATATTTATATCCGCAGGAGGAAACAAAGCGTGGTGCACAAATCTGGGAGGCAGCTCTTTGGGATGGACGTGAGAGGATTCAGGACAAGTTCACAAGATGATGCGAAGGATGGATACAGTCTCGACAGGCGTGGAGTTTCGAGTTTTGGCAAGTAGTTTTTACAAATTGAGCTTTATGCGTGCCAAGTAGGGTCTGGATAGCTTGGACACATATTCCACTCGAGACAGTAGATCGCTGGTTCAAATCCGGCAAAACACAACCACTTTTCTCGCGGCGCTGGTATACATGGATGACGAAGGCATGCTTGGATAACCAAAGGTTTTGAAATTCCCTTTGGTGCGTACTTACGGAGGAGGGTCGACTGTTAGTGTAAGCGAACATACCTCATAGTGGTATTTGCGAATGAAATCCAGAGTATGAGTGTCTCTAACGTCAAAAGAGTCATCCCACATGTATACATAGCACCGGTCATGTGTCATAGCTAGATAGCTGACTACACATTAAATGATTTAAAAAAATCATCACATGAATCCTATTTGGAAGAAGCTTCTGAAGTGGTTGAGAAGAAACGCAATCTTTCTGATAATAATTCTCATGGACTATTTACGAAGATGAATTGCCGTTTTATTTACTCAGATACTTTCTGGTATATTTTTAAATTTCAGTCGAAACTTTTTATGTTTCAAGTATGGCTATTTCTTTCAAATGGTTCGAGATAAAATTCCTAATCATATCTTGGATTTTCACATTCCCTCAGTTACTGTTCAGTGCTCCAATCATTAAATCATCAATATAGAAAATTTATTGTTGTTTTTCGAGCACAAAAATCTTATGTTAGATGTCACGGTTTCATTCCAAAATGCACGAGCGATCTTGTATGTACAGTATGTTAATTATAACTCTCCGAAGAGATAATTAATGTAGCTTCTGACTACCTGCATATACAATCTTAAGTATTTTCCTTCAAGAAGATTCTCAATAACACTTCCACCCTCATGAACCTTCAGTATGTTTCCAGAAGGTCAACTGAGAGTCTTCTAAGCAGTTGTCGAAGAGTCTTAGTCTATCAAATCATAGAGAGAACCTTCTCGAAAGGGGATGTTTCGAGTTGCATATATGGGTAATTTTAGCTGTTGAAATTCTCCCTTGACAGAATTATAATTAACAGATTATAATTACAAGATCACCCATGCATTTTGTATTGAAGCCGTGACAGCGATCGGCTGCACAGTGTGGACAATAGGAGTATATTGAAATATTTATGATAATGTGGCGCTATTTTTATTGTATTGTGGCTTGGGATTTTTAGATTAGATTCATTGAAGTGTATGTAGCAACACCGCCATGGTAAATTATGAGTGCTACTTGTACATTGTTAGTTAATTTTTTTGATTACATTAACACTCAAAGTGTGAGTTTTATTCCAAAATACCTATAAAGGGTATGCTTGCTTGCACAGAACAAAAGACCCTCATCTGATGTTACCCACCAATGAGAAATTTTAAAGTATTTGATTATCCAAGAATACGAACACCACGAGAAATTTTGTGGAGTCTTGCTGGATTTGGGACAGCTATCTCTTGTCTCAAGTGGGAGTTTTGTCCGGCTTTTACTCAGGATATCGGCCTAAATAATGTATCACCACGCTATCAAAATTTGTCTAATTTTATAGTGTCAGCTACACTCTCAATACCAAAGGCTTGATGCCTACAATCTTCTTCAGTTTTTAGATCTCCATGCCAAAACTACAAATTTTACACCCGTCGAGGTCGTATTCATCCTTTACATCAGCTTATCTATTTTACCCTATTCCTCTGAACCCCATCCCGTAGAACTTCGTCCCGGATTTGTGCGCCACGATTTTTATCCTCCTGCAGGTATCCGTATTATCATGGGCGCATATTTGGCGGCCATCTAAGGCCAGAGAACAGTCAATGACATGTGTGGCCATTAAAACGAGGATGTACTAGGTGACACCTGCAGACTTGAAGAGGCTTGGGTCGGGATCAATGTCGTTGGGAGCGAAAGACTGATATGGTGGAGTATCTTGAATTACTACCTCGTGCGCCAACTTCTTAGGTGTTGCGAAATTTGACTAACCTTGGCTCTGGGAGAACATTTCACTCCCAGGTTCGTAGAGGACACAGCATAACGGCGTTCAGTTTTTTTCCTCCTATCTCTGGTATTTTGTCATAGCTAGATATCTATACACAATCAATATCTTATTAAAAAATTGAAAAAAAATTTCGTCCGGATTGGTCAGAAAGAGAAATGTGTTTATTGTACTACTTGAGTCTCTGACTATCTAGCACATTGGGCTCCTTTCTTACCCAGGCCACACCTTGTACAGTGCTCCTTGCCTCTTTTGTTACTTGTAAGATCATTGGTATATTGCCCTTGATGAATAGCCATTCAGCTCAGTGTTTACTCGTGGAATTCAGCCACCTTTTCCACGGAACCTTCTACCCAAAAAAAAAAAAACAAAAAGGTAGCAATGGAAACTGCGTGCGCGGGAAAAAGTCTCAAAAAACCTGCAGCCCCAGCCAGGCGAGGCCTAGACACCGGGACCACATGAGGTGCGCATATTCATCTATATCTCCCTTCTTTGTAACAGTCGAGGTCGACTTGATCCAATCCACCATCTCCGTATCGGGTGCTGGGTACGCTCCGGAAACTCATTGGATGGCTTTTCCTCCATGATCAAGGGTTGGTGATGAGTAGGGCTCCGACTCTACCATCTGATCTGATGGTAGTTAGCTTCATGATAATGGTGATAGGGGGGTGTGTTGAGAGATGAAGACGATACAGACCGCGTAAGCGATTGGGAATCCTCATCGAAGTGAGGATCTTTTAACTCTATCTCGGCTCTGCAGACTCTACAGTGAGAGCTGGAGTTCGAAGGGGACACCACTAGCAAGTGCTGAGAATAGTCCCCCGATCAGAGGGGATTTAGCTACCCCGCTGCCAAAATTGTATAAAGGATCGATCGATAGCGCACATTTCGGCACCATTCGTTAGAAGGTTAGCCATACTTATTGTTGATCGCACAATTTAAAGTCATTCAAGGCATAAATCCATCAGCATCAACAGTGGTGCCGGTGTAATCGCTCAGTATGCTCTGCACATCTGGGATAGCTAAGAAGAATCGCATCCTTCGCAACGGCAGCTTGCTGAGCGTGGCCCAATCGATTTCGACTGATACATGGGCTAGGTTCCGTTCCCGGCACGATAGATCAAAAGTTTTAGTTTGGGTCTCTTCTATTCAGTCTTCTAACAACTTCCCGATTGAGTTTGACTGGGAGGACTTTACGACTCACCAACAACCATCCAAAATCAAAGGTAAAATTCCTTTCGCTTTCAACCCTACTAACATTGTGTGCAGGACTGGGCAATTGCTCGGCCTCATTTTAGACAGGCACCTCGGCCTCGACATCAACATTCTCAACTTTTCGACACATTCCAAAGACGGCGCGAACGAAGAAGCTTCACTCAGACAACGAACAATGTACGACAAAAGCTGGGGCACCGATGCCTCGGTTTTGAGCTCTCGATTTCGGAATTTCAGCCCTCTCAAATGGGGGTTGAGCGCAATGCAGGGGAGAATTTGGGAAGAACGATATGTGATTTTCAACAGGCTGTTGGCACAGTTGGTCGGGTGCTGGATGTGCCTTCTAGAAGTGGTAGGTTGGATTCGTACACGGCCTGTTTAAGGGAGGACTACGGCTGCTCGTCATGAAAGAGTACGGGAGGAATTATTGAGGTTTTCCCTCAATACATGGTCTTAGGATCATGGTTAATGCGTTCCTACCTATTCGACCCTACGTAACCAGCGTGAGGCACGTATTTGGAAAAGTCAGGCACCGGATAGGCTTTGCCGGAGAATGGAGGAACTTGTATTCTAGATGTCCTGCATACGTGTCACGTCCATTGGATGGAGGGTGTAAGCCTGGCACGATAAATAAATTATCATTATCCGTCAGCATCAATTTCCGTCTCAGCACTTGTATCACGAGGTTTCCTGTGTCACGTGATCAGTTCCAGGATCGTGGTTTCTGTGAATAGAAATACCAAACAAAGCGGGACGGTGTCCGGAAATTGTACAGGTCAACGATTAAAGCATGGTATTACTCACAGCTTTAGTTCCAAGAGCTTCTGGCTATGTGATCAAACGTAGCGGAAGATCCCGTGGTTTACAGATGAAGCATTCTGTGGAGCCCGAATCGCCACATGTAGGCCTTTTATCCTACTCTTTCGCATCAAGCTTATGATCTATCAGATCGGTTACTATAAAACTTTTGCAAGGCCAGTGGCAAAGGTTCTTCTAATGGCAACTTTTACGTATCAAGTGGCGTACTGGACGTGGGTGAAACTTGAGACAGATGAACTCAAGGCCAATAAAACGGGTCAGTAAAAATAAGCTAATTCCTATAAATTAGATGAAATAACTGATTCTTGGACCATAGCACAACTGATAGCATTGGAAAAAGAACTGACTAATTTGAGAAACAAGCCAAGTACCTGACTGGTGTGCGGACACTAGGAGATCAACATTCGCTGTTAGGGTTATATCAATTTCATAACCTTTGATTTGCCACGAATTTGGAATGATGTAGGTTTACTGTAAAAATTTAGGGTAATCGAGAATTTTATGAAAATTAATAGTTGGAATGATTGAGTGTTTATTGTCCTTATGAGTCTATAACTATGTAAGGACATGTAGGTCCTTTCTGCCTACAGGCCAGGAGTATCTATGCCTCGTGTAGTGTTCTCTCTCCTATGCCTCCTTCACGACTTCTTTCCAGCAGTAATACTCCCACAGGTCTTCATTCGAGTATACACTAAGAGGAGCAGTTATCCCGTCATTATCTCTCCCCTACGGCCAACGAAACGATGGCCATTTGCGGGTGTGTAGCTGCTGGTAAAAGTCTCAAAAACCACTGGGTGCGGGGCTCTCCTATGACGAAGAGGCCGGCCAGCCGGGCGCAGCAGACCTGTGAATACCTAAGGGTATCTCTCAACCTTCCTCGCTTCCTCCTTACACCTCCCCTGATTCATGCCGCAGGACAAATCGAAGGTCGTGAAAGGATGTCAGAAAAGTCTTGGTCGAGAGTGACTGTCATGAAGGAGCCCAGCCTAGCATCTAAAAGTCGTTACGGACGTGGGGTTGTCGAGTGACTCATGTATTTCAGATGGCCTCCTGGCTAGTAGATTCGGAAGTTAAGATTAGTAGGGACGATATTGAAGACGAGTCGAAATCTGCTTTTCTCGAGGGCGGATGGGTCTTATGCTTTGCTTTCGTGGGCTTTTTATTTGACCGCCGGTTGGTAGCACATGTCGTAGTATAACGAGGGCTTCTCTGACTACCGTTGCAGCGTTTGGTACCGCATTATCTTTCCTCATTTCCAGCACCATTATCGTCGTCTTGGTCGCCTTATGTGCTATCGGAAGCGTATATTTGACGGAGGGGAAGATAACTCAGCTCAAAGTTGATAAGGTGTTACTCAATTTCGGCTCTGAAGACACTACAGTGAGAGCTGGAGGTTCAAAGGGGACACCACTGATAGGTGTTGAGATTAGTCTCCCATTGATAGTAGGAAGTCTGATTTAGACTATAATAAATGAAGTTCATGTGGATAATGCTTAACCTTCCAATCGGTATGGCGAGCCATAGTACAATTAGTGCTAAGCGCGTTTCAGTCCAAACTCTCTTTGCCATCTGGTTTGGATCTTGTTGTGCTACTAAAGGCAATGACTATCTAGCACCGTGGACACCTCTCTATCCCAGACCATTCCTTTTACAGTTCTCCTATCCTTTTTTATCGCGAAAAAATATGTCAGATATGAAGTTTCTGGCGAAACCTTGCTGCCATTGAGTGTATGTTTTGTTTTGTTCATTAACGTGCTAGGTTACATGACTACCGTTGCACTCCTACTGGAGCTTAAGCACGGGTGGGGTTGGGCCGGATCAGGTTAACTACCGTGAAGTACAGATAAATCACGTCCCACTTTAATGACCGGACCACCTCAGACTTCACCTATGTGTTGAATCATACCAAGCCTAACCGTCCAGAAACCCGCTGTATACACGCCGTAGCGTAATTTCCTACTCAGCCTCTGCCACCACGCGCCCGAGCCCTTGACATCCTCATTGACTCATAATATAAATGCCGTCCAAGATCTCATCGTTGATCTAGCCTTGTGTGAAAGTATGGCACCAGAGTGAATAGCTGTCCGCACGAGTGTATCCAAAATGGGGTTATTTTGTGTCTAAAGAGAAAATCTAGATACTTGTGGGATCACCCCCTAGATGTTGTCTAAATTATCGCTGACATAATCAACTCCTAGGAGCCGGATAAACTCCGGATCCCATCTACAAGGCAATAGCTTGTAATACCCTGAACCTTCATATCGTATCATTGGGTTGTTTTCGTCATTGGGGATTTGTATAATCCCCTCCTTGTATCTTCCCTTTTCTTCCTCCTTTGTACACGTCCCGTTTCCATCATGACTTTCCTCATTAGCGCGTGTGTAGGTAGGTGATGGGACGAGAATGGAGGTGGGTCGCAGCTGTAGGATCGACTGAGAAATGCATCGTCGCGAATATATGAGGAGTTTGAGAGATGTTTGATGTTTGAATACGACTCCCAGAAAGACCTAGGCCCATTCGTGAATCGTATATTGGTGGTGATGAGTTTTTATTCAACTTTGTTGTGGCTGTGAAATCTCTGCCGACTGATCTTTCGACCAAAACATCGAGTGCAACTCCTTCAAGTCGAAAATCCATCAAATAATTTTCATCCCACCCTTTTTCGTGACTGAATCTCGGCTCTGGGAGAATATTTCACTCCCAGGTTCGTAGAGGGCACCACTGACAAATGTTCAATCTTCGCCATCCCATTGAGTGTATATTATGGTGTGCCAAGGGATTTGTCAGGAGCTAGCTTAGTAATCTAGCCGAACCATGTACATAGATTATAGAGGACTCACTTCCGACCAGAGTTGTAAAAATAAAAAACATCCGATTAGATATTTTTATTTATCTTTATTTAACGTCTGGCGGAATCCGATTAGATAGAAGAAATCTAAGTCTGCACACATTAGTTCATTACTCCCAACTCTCACGATTTTTCTCTTCTCACATCGCTAGTTACCCATATCTGTGCATTAAGATATCTTCCGCACGCTCATAATCATAACAGCGTAAGACAGCAGAGCCCCTCGAGCAAACTTTTGAGCGACTGAGCTACAGCGTTAAGTCAGGCCTTCGTGTTGATATTAATTGGCGTCACAGTCCGATCAATGGATGGTAAAGACTGAACGCCGTTATGCTGTGTCCTCTACTAACCCGGGAATGAAATGTTCTCCCAAAGCCAAGTTCAGTCAAATTTCGCAATACCTAAGAAGTTGGCACACGAGGTAATGATTCAAGATAATCCACCATATAAGCCTCTCGCTCCCAACGACATTGATCCCGACCCAAGCCTCTTCAAGTCTGCAGGTGTGACCTTTTTTGGCATCAGATTTTAATTGCGTATGCAGCTATCTAGCTATGATACAATATTAGAAAAACAGTACAGAAAAGATGACTCAATTTGCAAGAGGAGCACTCATGCCTCGGATTTCATTTGAAGGTACCACTGCGAAGTTATGGTGGCTTTTTCTTCACCCCAAGTCAACCCTCATCCGTGAATACCCACCCAGGGGAACGTCTAAAAACCCCGACTTATCCAGACATGCCTCCATCCACTGAATTTTTGCCGGGCGATATGTGACCTGAGGCGTCTCCTTTCCAAATGTAGTAGGTTCCCAGGCTATTCACACTATACCAGAGAACACCTCGCAGGTGTGACCCAGTACATCCTCGATTTACTGGCCACACATGTCATTGACTGTTCTCTGGCCTTAGATGGCCGCCAAATATGCGCCCATAATAATACGAATATCCGCAGGAGGATAAAAATCGTGGCGCACAAATCCGGGACGAAGTTCTACGGGATGGGGTTCAGAGGAATAGTGTAAAATAGATAAGCTGATGTAAAGGATGAATACGACCTCGACGGGTGTAAAATTTGTAGTTTTGGCATGGAGATCTAAAAACCGAAGAAAATTGTAGGCAACAAGCCTTTGATTTTGAGAATGTAGCTGAAATTATGAAAACAAGCCAAGTATGGAAGCTGCCGTGGTCCGTCTTACAGTGGTGAACTCTGGTATGGATTGAGTAGCTTGGGCATCTACTTCACTTTGGAATGAGAACCCTGAAATTATATTCCGCACGAAGGCTAACCAATGAATGATGGAGATATATCTTGATAACTCAAGGCTTGTGATAATTTTCGTTGGGCTAGTTTGACGGATGAGAGCCAACTTGTGGTGAAGAAAAATCCAACATAACTTCGTAGTTGTACTTGCAAATAACATTTGAGGCACGAGTGCTCTATCTGGTACTTTACCTTTGGTATAGAGTCATAATCACATAACTGCATACGCAATTAGAATCTGACTCAAAAAAATTAATGATAGAATGCTGCTCTAGACTCCACTAAGTTTTTGACGCGTTACAAGTGTGGCTGAAAAGAATGTACTTCATTAAATCCACCGAGGCACAAACTCTTGCGACCCAGCTACCAAATACCTGACCATCAGGTTTGCTTTCAGCTTTATACATCATTATTGCTCCAGATCCAAGCACCATCCTAAAACAGCTGTTCAAGCAGTTTGGCGATGCAAATACGAAGTGAGCACATGGGGCTCAACTCGTATTTAGACAGAAGAAAGTTACCCGAAGTATATGATTATGTCCTGCCCCCGATAGTCAAATGGTAGAGCTGAGATATGGAGACATCCAAAAGATAACACGGTGGATCCCAAATTATTGTTGAATAGAGCAAATATAGGTGAATAAAGCGGTCGAAATGCTGTTGAGGGAGATGAACAGGTCAAGTAATGCTTGAGGTGGTTAGAGAAGATATGGTTGGCTCACATGGATAGCAATATAGTGTAACTGCGCTTCCTGAAGGAAAAACGTGATAATTAAAGACAACAGGCAGAAAGGTGTGAGGGGCTTCACTTTGAAGGTTTCCTCCCGTGTAAATATTACAGATTGTAGATACCTGCTTTGGCCCATAGGGCGCCAAATTAGGATGATGAAATTAAAATTTAGCTGTTCACCCCAAAAATTAGTCTTTCTAGCTAGCATAAATTTGAATAACTCAAAAAATCTGTCAACCTCTCGTTTTTCCATAACTCTGCCCTTAACTATCATCACATCTTTTCTGTGTAGCAAGATTCTCTACTACAGCGTACATCGGTATGTAGCGTAATAATTTTGGAAATGGGTTGTAGCTCGGTATTACAGGATGCATTAGTCGTACCTAGCTGAGGAGTTACATATTTATGTTGTTCAAATATAAAGCCCAGGTGAAATCAATTCTTCAACCATTGAGCTGCAGTGAATGATTTGCAAGTTTCCCATCCGAAGTGTTCTCAGCATAACTGCTACAAAATAAACCTCCGTCAAGTTGATCTTGTAATACGTTGTTTCAGTGTTCAATTTCAGTTTAAAATATTATAAAACACTGTGAGAGATGGAAAACATCCCCTGCAGCCCTCTGTTGGGAAACTTTTCTCGTTTTAGGGGGTTGGAGAGAATTGCCATAGCCTTTGAATTCCTCTAGAGAATTTTGGCGCTACAGAGTCGCGCTAAGCCGATAGAGTATATTAGAGCTGGAGAGGCTTGGCGCTAGACCTAGCAAAGTATGCCAAGTCTGAAACAGTGTCTAGTAATTCAGCTACCTCTCACATGGCACATATGGGACACATCACCTAATTTAAAGGAGCTGCAGCGGCACTTTCCATAAAGACCTTTTAGAGACCTTGTAGCACACCAAAATTTTTACACTTACACATCCCACTACCACCTATCAACATTTTATCAAACGAACCAGAGGAGGGAGTGGGCGATGGTACATGCTTGAAAACAACTGTAGGGCGATCAATTTACTTATCAAATCGCAGGCACAAACCCCACAACAGCGCAAACGCAACGAAAAGTTTAGCAAACTTCAGAATGCCAAACGAGGGAAAGCAAACATAGAGGTCAAGCCAAAGCAAGAATTCAAGAGCCCACTCAGTCCTCTATGGGCAGGTACAAAATTTCAATTATACACTTTATACGTTTTCAACGGACAGAACTGTAACTAATCTTTATCTACATCAGGTTTGTTATCCTTTGTGGTGTTTGGTGGCTTGTTGTTTGAATTAATCAACCGTATATTTATCCATTAAGAGCTATTTTTTCCAAATTCGAAGCCAAGAGTAAAGGCATGTCTTCGCAAATGAAACCACTGGGAGTTGGGGCTTGAACCCTTATATGGACACTGTCGTTGAGAAGCAAGAACGCCACGGGCAGGCCTGACACATTCTCAAGCTTGAAGAGTTGAGATGACCAATACCATGGCAAGCTACGGGGTTTAATGCCCAAGACATCAACCTCATAGAAGCTTTGTTCAAGATAGTAGCGTGGCGTAGATGATTCACATTCTGCATCCAAACAGACGATATACACCTGAAGACTAGGAAATGTTTATATTTACATCAACTACCGTAATGATAATTTATACCTGATCCATGGTTACCTAGTCAGTAATATTGCCCCTTTACATGAGGAGAGGCTGTAGTCGAATTTTTGGACTACGTTTTTTTGTGTTCATCAACTTAAAGCCTAGTGGTTGTGATACTTTTAAATTTTATCCCGACTTTTCACGAGGCTAATTGATGTTTCCCGCAAGCTCCCTTATCAGATCAAGGATTTCATCCTCGGGCTTTGGTTTTACGACTGATTCTATCGGCTCGAGACTAGATTCGATCACATCAGGTTTCAGCTTTACTATTATCTTCTCGTCCATCTGCGTCCCCGCGACTATATTTGGCTCCAATTTCTTTTCATCTGGATTTCTTTGACTGATTATTGATGCACTTGTAGTGACAGTTGCCGTTGTGCAATTAGGTCTGACAGAACCCATAGAAGCCATTTTTTTTTCATTCAAGATCCCCATATTTTCTTGAGCTTCCATTAGATTTAGATCATCCGTAGCCTTCTCTACAGGTTTAGTCGACTCAACTTCTACTAAGCTTTGAAGCTTTTGATCAACATGCAAAACTTCTGAGCCTTGAGGTATGTGCGAAGCTTGAGCAGCATTGTGGTCTAATTTTCGTCTAGATCGGATAACTTTTCTCTTGAGAGCCCTGAGTTTCTCTATCTCTTCAGATTCCTGGAGGATATTTGAATTTAGATAGGGTTTGGGAGGTTCAGGGAGTGCTGCAGAACCAACGATATTCTGTTCAATATTCTCCTCAGGGGCCATGTTCAAGTTTAATTCCGAATTAGCATCAGAATCTGTGTTCGATTTATTCTTATCCATCTCCATTTCACCACAAATTTCTTTTCTCGCTTTCGCAGGGTCCCATGGTAGGCCTGCAGTTTCATATTGCTTTTTTCGCTGTCTCAGCGCCCAGTTGAATTTTTTGGCTTCACTTTGCAGACGTCTTTGTTTTCTAGCAGTGTTTTTTCTATTTTTCTTTGCTTGAGCAAGTCGGGCCATAATTTCGGAATCTGATATGTCCCATAGATCAACAAGGTTTTCTTCCCCTTCGGGAAGTTCAAATTGCTTTGGTATGACTGGCTTACGAAGTGGTGCCCTTGAATTCGACATTTCTTGCCTGCGCTGTTGTTTTTTACTTAGAGTTTGGATAGATTCAATTTTTTTCTCCGCTATGCTAACGAGACTCTTTGAGGGAATGCCACCTTTTTTGATTATCTCCGAAACCTCTTTTTTAGCTTGTTTAATTTTCTCGTTTTCTTCCTTCTCAATTTCTCGCTCGATCATTGCAAAGTGGCGAGTCTTTCTCTCTTTCTCGGCACGAATTAAAGATTCTTTCGACTTTATGCTGCCATCAGCCATAGTAACTACTTCCCCTACGTTAAAAAGCTTGCCTGTTGGATCGTGTATTGCCGCTAGTCTTTCGGCTTGTTGAACTGCTTTTTGCCGTATTTTTTGGCGTTCAACCTCAATAAGCCTTCGTCTATTTCGTTCCTTGTGATTGACTGGCTTTTGAGTGTTTTGATTCTATATTAATGGTTAGTTCTGTCATATTGTATCAATTAGGCGCCACGTACGGTCCCCTGATAGACTGAAGAGCCTTGTAGTAGATTCGAGGTGTCATTCATGAAAGGGTTATCGAAGTGGGCCGGGAATGGAAATGGAGGCATGAAGCCAGTGGTATCGTCTACATCTTAGTTAGGCGTTTATTTGTTTCTAAGAGCCTATTATTACCTGACATTCCACAAATAGCCATTGGATGCGCGAAAGGCGCAAATATATTTGGTAAATTATTAAATCCACCCTGTGTTTGAATCGGGAAAGGTTGAAGTTCTGAGCGTTGGCCCAATGGAATAAAATTGGCATTCATTTCCATACTGAAAGTGAGACCAGTCTCTCATAAATCGCCTTCGAAGCCAGTAGAGAGATAAATATCACAAGTTGTTAAGCTGGTAGATGAAACGTTGGCCGACTATGATCTTTGCAAATCACAATCTTCTCTCAACTGATTATTCGGTATTCCTATTAAGGACTATTTGGCATTTTTCTAGCGGTTGACGCAGGAATTTGTTTGGTTAGAGACTCTGTCGTCTTCTAAGAAATAAAATGGCAGCGAAATATGTGTAATAATTTTAGGATTACGAGATTGTGAAGAGAGATACTTTTGCTTGTTCATTACAGCCCAAATTATCCGACTAGTCGGTTAAAGATTTCCTATTGTATGAGGCAGCCCGTGCGGGGAATTTCTATTGGTCATCACGTGACTAGGCCTCAACAGAGGTTATGATGAGGCTTGCTGCAGTATGCAGTAGATCCATGCTTTTACCTATTCAAATCAGATTTAAATCGTAAGTGCAGCTATCTAACCATGATATTAAATCAGAGATAAAGCAATGAACAATTTTAAGAATGTTTTGATTATTGTGCTACTTGAGTGTATGACTATATTGCAAATTGGGCTCTTTCCTGACCCAGGCTCCACCTTACACAGTAAATCAATCCTCTTTTATTACAAAAAAATATATATCATTTTGTTTTGATTTCATTTAGCCCGTTCAGGTACCCTATGGGCCCATGCAGGTATAACTAGCTATAGTATTTACACAGGAGGAAACCAAATTCGGTAAAAACCCCCTACAACTGTCTGTCTCGTGTCTATTTTTTTTCTGAGGTTTCCTACAGGAAGTGCGATTACACTGTTTATACAGTGTGCAATCCGTCTTATCCTTATCCACATCGTCTCATCCTTTCGTCCCATGCTATTTCTACTTCTCCTGCAAGCCGGAATAGTTCAAACCAGCCTTTTGCCAGGATCCATTTTGTAATTCTCTCCATGTCATCTGGGCTGTTCATCATTGCAGCAAATGATCTATCTTTTGCTTTTCGAAGCACCCCTCGTCTTCCAATTGCCCACTGAGGACACGCCAAGACAATATGTTTGACATTTTGAGACAGATATCCACACTGACATTTTGGATTAATCACTCCGGGGACTTTCCTTCGATACAGATAAGAATTGAGACCAATGTGCTCACTTCTTATCTGAACTGCAATACTGCTTTGGGCCCTACTAAGGTTGCGGTGGATGTTTGAAGGTGTGTTTCTATATGTAATCCTTTTTCTGACTGTTGTCTCATCTGTAATAATATTTGCGGCTTTGAAATGTTCGGGGTCTGCCGAAGCTCGATGACCAGATAGTATCTCGTTCCTTGGACGTGTCTATGGGTTTTTCCACTCCTGGAACGCGGCCACCTTACTGGCTTCTTTTTGTCTCCCTTTCGTATTCTCCAGGCCGCAAATTCTGGTCCATTCTTCAATGTCTTGCTTTCGATTCTTGGCGTGCATGTTCTCTGTTCCCCTTGTAGTCTGCTTGACTTTGCTGCACGCAATATATATCATTTAATATCCATACAAGAAAGTTATTTAGCTCATCGTTTACTCGCCAAATTCAACCTTATTTTCCACAGAACCTTCCCTCAAAAAGGATAAAATGGATATCCGTAGAAACTATGACCGCGGAAAAATTCTCATGAAACCTATATCTTCAGTCAGGCGAGATCTGGGCATATAATTATAGCTTACCACAGTTTAAATTTAAAAAAATGAGAGCCAGACGGTAGTGTCATACGGGATGCATATATCCATCTACATCTCCCTTTCTTGTGAAAAAAGAGGCAACCTTAATTCTATAAACCACCGCCGTCTCGGAAGCTTTAGGTGCATGGAAAACTCATCGGATGGCTTCTCTTCTGTAACCGGCAAAAGAAAGTGGATGGAAAGTAGAGCCTCTACGCTACCATCTGATCTGATAATAGTTATCTTCATGATATTGGTGCTGGGGGCCGTACCGATGGATGAAGGCAACACAGACTGTGAGAGTTATTGGGAATTCTCATCGAAGTTAGGACGAAGTTGTTACTCTATCTCGGCTCAACGTCCTCCATGGTGGGACGTGGAGTCTCATAGGCAACACCACTGACAGTTGTTAAGTTTTGTACCCCTCGCTTATCAAGTTATACCAATGATGCGAGCATACATATTTTCATACGTAGATCTTTAGTCTAGGACTGAAAGAGTACAAATAAATATACTTAGTCCAACCGTTCAGAAAATCTTAGCATGAAACGCCGAAGCACAAATGCTTCTCTAGGCTCGGCTACAACGCGCCCGGGCCCTTGGGACCTTCCCGTCCTTGTGATTTTCTGCTTCAGTCGGTCTCAGCTATGCCTCATCCCTGAATCTACTCATCATATCCAGGTGTTATTTAGTATGTTGTACAGCCTCCTCCGTTTTTCTTCCTTTTATTGCTCTCTATTGTAGCCTCTCTCTAATAGTTCTGCCAATTTTGTCATCTCAGAATCTTTGAGAACCATGCGCCCTCGACCTTGCCCCTTTGCTGCCATACCCCTAAACGTGGAGGGCAATAGCGTGTGTGTTTTTATTGTACTACTTAAGTCATAGACTATCTAGCACATTGGGCTCCTCTCTGACCCAGGCCACACCTTGTACAGTGCTCCTTGCCTCTTTTGTTACTTGTAAGATCATTGGTATATTGCCCTTGATGAATAGCCATTCAGCTCAGTGTTTACTCGTGGAATTCAGCCACCTTTTCCACGGAACCTTCTACCCAAAAAAAAAAACAAAAAAAAAGGTAGCAATGGAAACTGCGTGCGCGGGAAAAAGTCTCAAAAAACCTGCAGCCCCAGCCAGGCGAGGCCTAGACACCGGGACCACATGAGGTGCGCATATTCCTCTATATCTCCCTTGTTTGTAACAGTCGAGGTCGACTTGATCCAATCCATCATTTCCGTATCGGGTGCTGGGTACGCTCCGGAAACTCATCGGATGGCTTTTCCTCCATGATCAAGGGTTGGTGATGAGAAGGACGGATATAACCTCGAAGGGCATGAGATTCCGAATTTTGGCACGAAGTTTTACAAATTGAGCTTTGTGTGCGCCAAGACTTCGCTTGCGAGAGTGCAGCTGACACTATAAAAACAAGCAGACGATGGATGGTGTTGTGGTCCGCCTCCTGGTGGTGTTCTCCGGTATGGTTTGAGTAGCCCGGGTGCCCACTCCACTTGGGAAGGGGACGCCTTAGATCATATTTCGCGCGGAGAAAAGTTGATGGATGACGGAGGCATGTCTGGATAACTCAGGGTTTTTGAGACGTTCCCCTGGGTGGGTATTCACGGATGAGGGTTGACTTGGGGTGAAGAAAAAGCCACCATAACTTCGCAGTGGTACTTGCAAATGAAATCCGAAGCTTGAGAGTTCCTCTTGTAAATTGAGTCATCTTTTCTGTACTTTTATACCCTCACTGTCTATGAGAAAATAGTTAAAAATTGTAAAATTGGAAAGGAAATAATGTAGCTAGTATCTTATATATAGATTCTAGGAGTCCTCTATAGTCATTGACTCAGTTAGGACTATAATATAAATCTAATCTAATCTAATCTGTACTTTTATTTGATATTGTGTCATAGCAAGATAGCTGTATACGCAATAAAAATCTGATGAAAAAAGAAAAATACCCCTAACCGTGGAGGCCTAACATATGTCGAGGAGCTAAAGACCGAGACACCGTCGCCTCAGTCTTTCTTGAATGCTCTACTTAATATGCCGGCGAAACATCATACGAATTGAGCCTCATATCGAGTTATTAGTTCCCTTGCCCAAGGTACTGTGTTGGAAATTCTGACTCTCGAATTTAGGACACAACCATTACCGGTTTCGTCTCAGGTTCCCGACAAGATCGAGTCTCTACAAATGTCCCGAGTACGCTGATCGCACCTACTGTCGCCTATACGTTTGGATATTTACGTACTATAGTGTACCTTGGCTCATCATGGTAGATGAGAGGTGGCTAGTCATCACAAGGTTTGACAGGCACACGTGAATAGCGGGAATTTCTCCCTTAGATGTATATATAAGTCTAATGTTCCCATGGTTGTAAAATATCAAGTCTTCTTTACTTCATCATATTTATCCTTATAATATCGTACAGAGTATATTTTCCAACATATTGTAGCATTCAAGGGCTGTAAGTCGAATATACTTTCACTTCGCGCATTAGTTATGGAAAGATAGATAGTTTCTTGTACCTTAGACTCTGGATCTGACTTCTGGATTTTGAGGTACTTCAGTAGGTGGTGAGACCAGTTAAGCTAGGAAAGATCTACTAGGAAAAATTTAAGAGACGAAGGGTGTAAGTTATTCTGAAAACAACACCCGGATAGATTTTAGCCATCTGGTGTTCATATTTGAGATGTAGACCGATTTTGACGGGTTGTATAGTCATGAAATCTCTGCAGGTCGAGTTTTCAACCAAAAACTTACCAAAGACATTCTCGCCTGTCTACTCTATACTATATTTCAGATATACCCTCTCTTATGTCTCAATTTTGGATCTGAGTGAATTTTCGTCCATAGGTTTGCAGAGGACATCACTGATAAGATTCAGCCTCCGCCGCCCAGAAGGCTTACTGTTGGTAAACCAGGAATACAATTTGGCCGCCGTCACGAAATCAGAAATCTACAACAAAATAGACAAAAAAGTGAATAAATGGGTATCTCGAAATATATCTAGGGTTATATCCTATTCTCCCTCTCTATCACCAATTATTCTTCCCTAAAAACGCCTCGCTAATAATTTATTCCTTGACACCAGCTCTGACCAGATATCTTCAATATTATATAACCCTTTATGGAGTCTCTCTTTGAGCCCACCCATTAGGGTTTAACTTCACTTGTTTAAGAATCGGTAAAGGTTGCAGCATACCTAGAGTGGGCGAAATCTTGGTCTGCCCTCAAGCGAAGTCGGGAGCCTCAAAAACTTGCTAAAGGAGATCCTGAAACTTGGAGAGCAGCTAAGTG